CCCCAAAACCCCAAAACCCCAAAACCCCAAAACCCCAAAACCCCATTTACTCAAATTTTAAATTAAATTTATTCTTATGAGGAAATCAATGACTCTCGAGACTGACTTTAACAAGTCAAGGAAGTTCTATAAAGACCTTAATACTCTAAGTATGAAGCAGAGGAATGGGCTGTTTTCAGATCCAATATCCTTAGCTGTAGGTGACGTCCATTATGTTGCCCCAACAAGGAAAATAGTCAGGAAAGACAAAGGCCCTAATAAATCAAAAGGCTTCTTTACATCAAAAATGAAAGTGGGGCGAAATGATCATGCTTTATTCTCAAATCCGAAGTATAATGCAATCAGTGATCCCTATAATGAACCATGCAAGAGCCTTCAGCTAAGATCTTCAGTGGAAAAGATAAAATAAGAGGCCATTTACAGCTGGAGGAAGGGTCAAGCAAAAGAACCCAACTTCTTTCCATTGTGGTCCTGTAAAGGAAAAAGAGAACAAAAGAATTGGTGCAGGAAATGTCAGACTAAGAGAACCTAATTTCGTCACATCTAAATCTAAAGTTGGAGGAGGGAAAACCACCCCAGGGGTTTGAATGGGAGGCAAAACTATTAAGTATATCGAAGATGATTATGACAGAGAAAAGGATTATAAGAGAGAACAGTCTAGAAGACATAAGGAAAAGATACCTAAACCGTTTGCTTCGACAGTCAAACAAAGAACTACATTCACTAAGGACGAGCAGTGATATACAATCGAAGGACTGACCTTAAAACTAAAGAAGGAACTATATAATTATGATAAAGTCAAGCATCCTCAGCCATTTAGACCTTCAAATCCTGCAAAGAAAGGCTACAATAAAACTCTTGAGCAATTTCCTTCCTACACTGAAGACCCAGGAAGACCCGCCAAGAAGGAATCAACCAAGCACTACGCTGCTCAGACCGGAAAGTGGAGGCCAACAGCAAGGTCCAAGTCCAAGCCTTGCCCCAGCATTGTAGAGAATCCTAAGAACAAAAGACAGCTGAACTATAGTAGGTTTTACTAATTTTCAGTTATATTCAAATTAAATTCAATAAGTCAGGCTTAATGAGGGGTTTTGGGGTTTTGGGGTTTTGGGGTTTTGGGG